CTGTTTAGTTGTGTTATGTGGTGTTTCCTTTATAACAGATTTATCTGCAAAAGTCATGTAATTTATTATCAACCCTATAATTCTATCAATCAAAGGCATGTTGAGTTCGTAAGGGCACTATTGAGTTCTGTCGAAATACATAAAATCTTATTACAACGTAAATCTTCATTGAAACGATTGATGGATTGTATTTTTTTAACGTCCCTCTCGAGAATTTTTCATTAATATTGAGACGACACCTCCTGCCAGTGGAGAGCTACTATTTTTGTGCTTACTCGGCACTCTAGTCATTGAGCAGTGAGGGGTCTTTTAAGTGCCGGCACCTACTGCGACACAGGACCTAGGTTTATACGGTCTCATCAGAAGGACCGGTCTTAACGTATCACAGCGGGATTTGAATCCGCGACTCCGCAGGCGCTCTAACCACTGCGCCATGCGGGAGAGCCATGAAAGAGAAGGAAAGAAAATAAAATAATAAAAGAGGAACCTTTTAAATCATTGGAGGCAACCATGTGTTCTGTAATTGTACCAGACTTGTTTGATGCATTCTGCTGTTCTATAACGGTTTTTATCACCTCAGGTGAGAACGGATCGCTACAATAGATATATCCTAATTAGAGTAGAAATATCCTACTTGTATACAGTATATATAAACAAAGCCAGGCACTGATTATATACTATAGAAAATAATTTTTAAAAAGTCTGTTTTACTATGTGTTTATTGGGTATCATTTATTATAGGTATGTACTTAAAATAGATTACCATAGTTCAATGTCATATTTTCCATCATATCCAAATCTGTATTTACCCATCCTTCCACATGGCCATCGAATCTTAAATGTATTACATCTGCCATAATTATTTTCTTAACCTGAAGATTTAGGTTTTTAGCAACTTTTAATGCTCTTAGTCCAATGAAAAGCAAACTTAGTTAATTTAAAATCAAAAAACGAACCAAAACCCCAGTATTTCTAAATTCAATAAATATATTCATTACTTTTTCAATTCTTTGCTATGGTCGGTATAATGACCTTGTTAGCAAATATGACGTATCAGTGAGTCGTATTTTGGCTGACTGGAATTTCTATGTTTTATGCTCTCTTTACATATGTGTATTACTGTACATCACTAGATTTTCGCGACACCTTATTTCCGTGAGAAAGTCATTGACTCTTGATGAGCGAGACAAAATTTTCACAAATTGTGGTAATTGCTCTATTTAATCCCAAGGAATACTATTAAACGCGAGAATTAAATTTTTGCGAGCAAACTGTCTTGCGTAATTACGAGAAAATAAAGTTACAGCGATTAAAAAGTTATTTATAGCAGTACAGTATCTTTAGATTCCGAGAGATCAACTTTAACATTGGAGCTTTTATTTCTGGACCAAAAATAAAAGTTTATCGTCTTCAATTTTGAAAGTTTATCAATAAAAAAATAATTAATAAAATAGATTTATTTATAAACATGTATATAAATCAGAACTGACATAAACGGTGGCATTGTCCATCACTCGATAACAAGTCCCGATCGCTTCTTCTCCACCGTCCTGATCTCCCCATTTCCAATCAGATCCTTATTAAAAATTGAACGTTAAACCTGGTTTTGTAAGTCATACGTATGTACTTTTTATATGCAATAAAATCATCTCTTTAAATAAAGATTAAAAGTATATTCACACCTTAGAAAATAAGATATACAAAATGATATACCTCTTTTAACGAAACAACCGACAGCGACCAATCCATCAAGAGGGACCCTGGATTCCTCACAAACCACCACATCGTACATGCCTCTTATTCCATAGTTGTACATACTACGCTCTCCATTATCCCACTCTACCAGTACAAGCCCAGCTGTTGATGATAAATATATTTTATTATAACAGTCGTAAATATTTATCAAGTAAAATATCCAAAAATGAAGCAGATGTCTCAGACCCTGTATTATTACTTTTTTTTATCTCAAGCTCAGTGGGATATATAGTATGGAATGGAAATTAGAATTGTAAATTGACAATAGGTCGTCGATATATCTAAATGTCGAGTTGAAGGCCACAACAAGTGTTTTACTCTTTTCACTTATAAGATTTTGGACAAATTCTGCTTCATATCAATACAAAAATGGGTCTGTAAATAACGGGGCGCTGTAGGTATACAGGCAACTTAGCCACATATGATTCTCATATGAGTATCATATGATTCTCATATGATTGGTTTCATATGAGAATCATAGAAAAAGGGCATCACATGTGAATCATATGAAGCAAATCATATGAGTTACATATGATCCACATATGTGAATCATATGAAAATAACTACATATGATTTTCATATGAATGATTTCAGTGTGTTTCAAGCCATTTACATATGAGAATCATATGAAAATGGCATCATATGTAAATCATATGAAACACTTATGTGTGTTCCAAGCCATTTACATATGAGAATCATATGAAAAGTACATCATATGTAAATCATATGAAACACTTGTGTGTTCTTTTTCAATATTTTTCACATTCTTGTACACATTTAAAAATCAGATATTTCTGCTTTAGATGAAAATTCATTACATTACAATGATCTATCTTCATTGGTTAAATATTTTAAAATATCTTAAAATGCTTACACAACTTTTTTGATAAAATTATTTTCATCAAGAGAAATAACTTATTTTTCACAGTGTACATTCTAAACAAGAAAATATACAAACAAGTCAGTAGCATTTGTCGATACATGTATTAAAAATATTCTAACATGAGTACAAATTATAAGATTTCAGCAAAATGATTTAGTAGTTAAACATGTATACTGTACATGTACAAATGAATAACATAATTAGGTAATGTATAAAAATACCATATGACATGAAAGTGTCCAAAGCAACATTGAAATATCAGCAATAACATTTGTCATGTAATCTCTATTGTAAATTTATGAAAAATCAAGTTATTGATTATTCCAGCATACAATATGGGAAATCTTCACAGGTCAAATTCAGACAAGATTGTGTACATCCTCCCCATTTCATAATTATTCCATATATTTCCTTGCTCTTTTTCCTTCTGTATCTTTCAGTTTTTTCAGTTGTCCTCCCTTTGATCTTCCATGACCATTTAGAAAATCTCTTTGAACTGTACCGTACCAAAAATGAATATCCACCTCTTCTCCTTTTCCTGAACAATTTCTTTGTTGCACAGAATGGTCTCTACAAAAATTTCAAAAGTAAAAATAAAATAATTCTTAAATTCTATGAGTTATAAAAGTTACTTAGGTATAATCAGCAAACAAATGTATGCCCAATTCACTGACACAGATATGATACAAGATAAAACTAATGTTATATATGTTATACTTGGTGTTTTGAGGAATCCTATGATGTAATTTGCAAAACAATTACACTATTGAAAGATATGCTTCATAATAAAATCATAAAAAGCATTTTTTTGTTATTTTGACAATTAAATTTGGAATGTTCAAACAGTATATATTAATTCAGATTGTCAAAAAATTAAGAAGATTCTGATACAGATACATGTATATTATTTTTGGACAAAAAATACTACAGACAAGTAGACAGGCAGAAAAACAGACATTGTGATTCCAAGATATCCCAAACTTTTGGGAAGACTATAACAAAGTTTATTTAACAGTGTGTAGTTACCTTAACTTTGAAGCAAGCCTTGGATCTTGGGATTTGTTCTTTATCTTATGAGAGGCTGACTGTATATTGAACCTGCAAGACAAATACTAACAGTCTCACACAGTAGATAATTTATAAGAATACATTTAATTAAAACTTAAACTATCAAAATGAGAGAGTACAAGTTTGTAGGTTCTCTATAGTCTTAAATATATCTAACATTTAACCCAAAACTATAGGCATGCACACCATTCACTAGTGTTGGGGGGAAAAATAATTGTCAGTAAATGAATACATAGATGTAAATATTCAATGGATTAGCTAGCTGATGTTCTTTCAACACACATGCACATGTATTCATACCTTTAAAGTTGGATGTCACTGTTATAAATTTTTAGTTGAAAATCAAAAATCCAATTTATCCCCCCTTTCCCCACAAATTTATTGTATACTATATAGTTTCATAGCCTTTACAGCCAGCAAAATCTATTCATACTTTGCATATTTTAAGTGCACTGGATTAAAATTATAATGTAGAATAAAATTTCTAGAGTATTGAGTTGAGTTGAATTTATTTTTGATGAAGCCATGCAAACAATGTAGAATTATAAAAGAACAAAAAGAAATTATCAAGAAATATTTTGTCATAAAGAGACATTACAGATACTTTGATTTTTTATTTCAAGTATTTATTTTTACCTTCAATATTGTGATGATGCAATCGTCTGTCAAATCAGCTTCAGGATCAATCGCCAGTCTTATCAGCTTCGGGCTCTTTGGACTGAAAAAAAAAACCAGCACTGTGACACTGAACTCAAGTTGCCGAATGCATCTATAGGCCATAATAACAAACATTTGTCATTAAGTTTAAGAAGGAATCCGGACGATCTCAACATACATAACGACATACAAGGTTTCTACTTTCACTTTCATATCAGTACGTAACAAAACGAAAACAAATTCAAGTTTTAAAAAGTAGTAATGCCTTTAGCCTAATATGTAATGTTTACTTTCATTCAGAAACAAATTTTATCCAAACTTACTTACAGATCACGAACGTTAGGTTTACGAAATGCATTGATTTAACAATTACATGCATGATGCAAGTGATAAGAGTATATATCGATAGAGAGTTCATACGCACCTGTAACAATAATGAAATTATATTTAAACAATATGAATCAAAAGTCTTTAAAATATTATTGTTAGGAGATCACTTGCCTTTTCCAAACACCCAACACGTCTGCTGCAGCAGTGACGTCAAAATTGACGTATATTTTCATCCGATAAAAAACAAAACCGGCCCGGAGAAAAAGACGGAATTATTTTAATTTTACTTAGCCAAACCCAAAAGATTTAAAATGAAAAGCAAATTAATTAATTCTTTATCTATTTTGTCTGGGAAATGCATTATAACAGAAAAAAAAATTGTGAACGTTTTTTTTAGAAGGAAAGGGGGGGGGGTTTGGGTAAACAGAGTAGAACTTTACATATAATTAATTATTAACAAATTCTTTTGAATTAATGTACATTTAAATTCATCTTTTGATATATATAATTGAAATTGCAATTTTACTTCAGTATAACAAGGAAAGATAAGTGAACACTGTTTCATATGATTCTCATATGATCACCGTTTCATATGATTCTCATATGATCACAGTCAAAACATTCGTATGAATTTTACCTGAGTATAACAAGGACAAATTAGTGAACATTGTTTCATATGATTCTCATATGTTCAGTTTCATATGATTCTCATATGATTATTGTCAGAATATTCATATGATTCTCATATGCAGGATCTTTCATATGAGAATCATATGTATATTACTTCATATGATTCACATATGTATGATCATATGATTCTCATATGATTGGCCACATATGATTCTCATATGATTGTATATACATATGATTCTCATATGATCCACATATGATCTTCATATGAAAGGCAATGCATATGTGGATCATATGTGGCTAAATTGCCTATGTACCCATGTGGATTCCAATAGATTGTTGGAAGACATGGTCTCCAAAAATGAGAAAGATACTGACAATTAAAAACACAAGCATCTTTTTGATGTCAACTTCAGCGTACTTGTGTGTACTTTCAGAATGTTTTTAAAAAATATAATTTTGCAAATGACCAATGACAATGTTAGTACGTGTAAATAGACGGGTTTAATGCTTATTATACCCCCCGGAAACGAAGTTTAGGGGGTTTATAGGAATCACCTTGTCCGTCTGTCCGTCCGCCCGTCTGTCCGTCTGTCTGTGCAAACGTGTCCGGTCCATATCTTTCTTACGGAGGCACATTAGAATCTACTACTCAACGGAAAGATTGCCCATGACCTAAGAGTGTGTCATGACCTTGACCTAAGGTCATTTGAGGAAGTTCAAGGTCACTGGAAGAAGAAATTCATAATTCATGTCCGGTCCATATCTTTCTTATGGATAAATTTGGTAGGTTCTAATTTCACACAAAGATTGCTTATAACCTAAGGGTGAGTCATGATCTTGACCCAAGGTCATTTGGGGAAGTTCAAGGTCACTGGAAGAAAAATTTCATAATTTTTGTCCGGTCCATATTTTTCTTATAGAAAAACTTGGTAGGTTCCAATTTCACACAAATATTCCTCCTGACCTTAGGATGTGTCGTGACCTTGGTTCAAGGTCATTTGGGGAAGCTCAAGGTCACTGGAAGAAAAATTTTATATTTTGTATCCGGTCCATATCTTTATTTATTATGGAAAAACTTAAATCTACTACTTCACACAAACATTGCTTATGACCTGAGGTTGTGTCATGACTTTGAACCAAGGTCATTTATGCAAGTTCAAGGTCACTGACAGAAAAAGTCCATAATTTTTGTCTGGTTCGTATATTAAGTCAATTTTTTAAGGCTGCGTCTTTGTTTCATTTATTAAAAATATGATAAGCAATTACATTTGCACTAAAAATGTTTTAGCATTTCTCTCTTCTCTTAGATCCATAAAATATTCATGATTTAGCACATGAAAACCCAGCGGGGGGTATTTTGTCCCGTTTGGACAGTTCTAGTTGAAAATCAGCTGTCAATGATATGAAAAATATCAAATTCGTTTAATTAAGAGGCAAGTCTTCACTCCTCTTACCCACCTTTATCCCCATGACCCACTATGGTTCCGATGCCCTCGCTATCCTGGTTCTGAAATCTCCAGTGGGGACCCCGGCGAACTCTCGTACCGAGCTTAGGAATAGTAGAGAATTTCTCCTTATACCACCTTTCCTCGTCGTCTTCCCTTCTCTCTTGGGTCTGCATGATTCTCGCTTTGTTCCGTATCAACTCGTATATTGCGTCCTATGTTAATAATATTAAAATTTACATAATCTCCTCTGAAATATCCTATCTATACGTTCTATTTCCACTATGGAAGAGTTATAGTTCTTAGTGCGCTCTTTTGTGAAAAAGTCGGAGAATGTACAAATCTCGCGGGATTTCTGGGACAAACGTAACATAAACATGTAAACAACACGTTGAATGTCGATGAACAAATCCTAACAAAATGCATATGAAATATTTTATTGTTGTGGACTTTATTTAAATCAAGAGTAGAGATGACGAGGATATTAATTTACATATTTTGGTGATCGTATATATCTATTTTTCGTAATGGTACATTTTAAGTCAATACACATACCTCGGAAATGTCGTATTTTTAATAATAGACGATAAACATAGGGTTTCCGCTCTTTTTCATATGCCTTTTAGTTCTTTTATTCTTTAGTTAGAATGACAAATGCACTTAACATTTAAAATTGGATTGATACTGGCATGTTTTGTATTATCCGCAATGCCATGCTGTCCCAGTCAGACGACCAAACGCGCCTCTAATTCTGAAGAGTACACTAATGAAAATACAACGTATGTGATTCTTTCTCTGAGTCTGCTTAATGGTACAGTGTGCAAGGGGATGGGTCTGCGAGGGGGTTGGGATGCTGGGGGTTACGTGTTGCCTACGTGATGTCCCCATAAACTACTTTAAACTCAAAGGTCAAGAGATCAAATCTGTTGAACCCATTAAAAAGGATACAAAGGTGTAATAGCTCTTGCACTTAAGATCAGAAAAGTCAATAATATGAGGTCCAATAATGAGTATACCAAAGAAAAAAATTCTCTAGAAGCAACCGTTTAAAAGTAATAAGCAAGGTTTCAAGTTTTTGACAAGTGAGTCAAACTCCAAATTGAACGCCATAAAAATGTAAGTACGTATTCAAGAAAAGTTTTTTCATAAGGGATAATCACGTGATAAGTCTATATGCTGAAAAGGTTTACTCGTAATTACACAAAAATTAGGTTTTTACTGACTACATGGTATATGAATATTAAAAATTCTTTCATGTATATGTTTATGGAAGTAATGACATATATATTTGTTAACATTATACCCATTTAGATATTATCAAAATATTTCAAACGAAGAGAATCATTGCAATGGACCAAGAGTACAATAATGTAAAAACTAGCTGTCAAACATGATAATTACGATATTGTTCACATACAGGAAGAAAATGTTATACATTCTATTGATCTATACACATCTTTTTTCTTGACAGAAAAGTTTAACTTTGACATGGC